CTGGTTTGACGCTACTCCCTATTTTTGTTCGTTTTAACCAGGGCTCCCAGTTTGCCGTTTTGTTTTTGTTTTTTGCAGATGATTTGTGATTAAAGTTTTCAGCTAAATTACAATTGTCTGGGCTGCATATGTTGTGTGTCCTGTCACTTACTCCTGGACTTATCAGGACCATAACAGTTGTATTCACAAAATGCATTAATAAATACTAAATTATGATATTAAAACTAATACAATCAACAAATAAAAATAATGTTACAATAAAATGAAGTGTAAAAAACTCTATAATTAAAAAAACCTGTTATTTGACCTCAGTATTCTAAATATCTGCATGTAAATTAATCAAATGAAGCACTTGAATCAATTTTATGACTCTCCTAAGTGCCTGTTTTAATCAGGTGGATGATAAATTATTTTTCTCTCACAGTCAGCACACTCCTGCTGCTCATGTCTTGGCTATTTGGCTGCATGTTTTCAGGAAAAAAATGAAATAAATAAAATACATAAATGTGGACAATATATTTCACACAAAAACTAAACAACTCGTTCACTCTACTCAACTCTGTTTTTGAGTAGTAAATGATATATGCCTTTATAACGTTACATTAAACAATATTATTCAATATTACACATTTAAAGTGCAAGCATACAGATGGTTTCCTGTGCAAATAGCAAAAGGTTTGTGAAAAAAACTAACCCTTACAATTAACATCTATAATAATTTGTATTTTAAGCAAATTTTTCAATTTTTAAGAAATCTTATTTACAAGAGAATGTTTAATCAACACAAATTGCATTCATTTGATTGAGTTACTTTAGCTTTGATTAAAAAAAATATACTAATTCCAGATTGTCCTGTTACAGGACTCTGCACATCAACAGATAATATTTAGTAAGTTTAGTTTCATTATTATATTATTATTATTATTATTATTATTGCTATTATTATTATTGCTATTATTATTATTATTATTATTATTATTACTATTATTATTATTTAATTTTGTTGTCTATTTGTTAAAAAAAAAAAATATATATATATATATATAATTATTGTCTATTTGTACCCCTCCCTGGGCTGCCACCTTACCTTGGTGGAGGGGTTTGAGTGTCCCAATGATCCTAGGGGCTATGCTGTCCGGGGCTTCACGCCCCTAGTAGGGTCACCCAAGGCAGACAGGTCCTAGGTGAGGGACCAGACACAGCCCAACCACCCCAATGATGAGAAAAAGAAATGGACTTGATGTTCCCTCGCCCGGACGTGGGTCACCGGGGCCCCACTCTGGAGCAAGGCCTGGAGGTGGGGCACGCGGGCGAGCGCCTGGTGGCTGAGATTTTACCCATGGAGCTCGGCCGGGCACAGCCCGAAGAGGAGACGTGGGTCTCTCTTCCCATGGGCTCACCACATGTGGTTAGAGATTCATGAGTCTAACAGCCTCAGTGTAGAAGCTGTTCCTGAGACTAGTAGTTCTACACTTAATTCTCCTCAACCTCCTTCCTGAGGGGAGTGGGGCAAAAAATGTGTGTGCTGGGTGAGTGGGGTCCTTCATGATGCAGGTGGCCCTCTTCCTGCATCTGGAGGTGTAGATGGTGTCAGTCTCCCCACCATCACATACAACAGTCTTCTGTGCAGCCTTCACCACTCTCTGCAAAGCTTTTCTTTCTGCAGCTGTGCAGCCTCCATGCCACACGTGCTGGAGCACAAGATGCTCTCCACTGCACACCTGTAGAAAGAGGCGAGGACTGAGCTTCCTAGACCAGCTTGTCTCAGCTGTCTGAGGAAGTAAAGTATCTGATGAGCTTTCTTGATCAGGCTGGTGGTGTTGTTGCTCCAGCTGAGCTTGTCATTCGCGTGTACACCCAAGTACTTGTAGCTGGAAACCACCTCCACCGCAGATCCTCCTATGTTCAGGGGGTGTTGGTGTTTTTGTTCCTTCTGAAGTCCACAAGTACTGCACATCTATCTATCTATCTATCTATCTATCTATCTATCTATCTATCTATATCTATATCTATATATATATATATAT